GCCGCTATTGGAAACCGTTTTATTTTGATTTTTTAAAATTAATATTAAGGGGTTGAGTTGAGTATTGAAACTTGTTTTGATTAAGAAATACTTTAATTTATTTCTGTTTAGTTGGACCGGGAATAGAATTAAAGTTAGTAAAAAATATTTAGAACTTTTCAAATAATAAAATTATTAGTTATGAGGCCGGAATTAAATTTTACTTGATAAATACCTTGAATTTATTTTTGTTAGAAAGCACCGTTTTTTTTTCGGATTTTATTTTAATTTGTTTGAGGCTTTAAGTGGTGTTAAATAATTTATTTTTCATGCGATCGTAAATATAGTCGTATAGCTGATTTTTCCTACGAACGTAAATATTATTTTCCGTGGAAAAATCATAAATTTCATTTTAGTTTATTTAAAGCTTTAACCAATAAATAATTGGTCGGAACTGTTTGGGAATTGTCTAATATTTTGATTTGTTAATAGAATTGCGACGAGACATTTTCTTTTATTTTATACTTCGAACCGCAAATTTATGCGATCTGAAATAGTACCATTCCCCTATCTGAAACGGCTCGTGACTACGATCACTTCATTCAGGGATAATGTGCTATCCCGGTTTTTAGTTTGTTTTACTTTCCAAACACTTGTTTGAGTAAACTTCTTATAAGAGTCCCTGTTTCGGTCCTGAAAGTAGTACTGTCACGAACCTGTCTCCTCGCATTCTCTGCGACCGTCTATTCAATTGTGCTTTGCCAAAATATTCAATTACATTCGATTGTAAATACCGATTAGACAATTCAACAGTTAATTTTTCTTACGACCGTAAATATTAATTTCCGTAGAAAAATAGCAAATTACATTTTAGTCACTTTAAACATACTCGTGTACTTTATTACATACTCAATACTCATTGACATAGTCGATTCTCAACTACACACTAGTTATTTAATTACATACTCTTTTATACACTTGTTTACTCTTAAACATGCCATTGATTCAAACATACTCGCTATTCAAACATATTCATTTATTCAAACATACTCATTTAATCGATTATCTATTCAATTATTTACTCGTTTACTCAAATATTATCTTTACATCGCTTATTTATTCCATTAAATTATTATTCAGTTACACACATTAATTGTTTACTAATACACTTAATACATATTTACTTAAATATTCATTCGCTAATTCATACAACTGGATGAAAACTCATAAAAATATTGAAATCAATGACATAGTTTTAGAAAAAGAATGAGATAGCCAACCTTTAGTGTGGCTATTAGCAATAGTTTTAGAAACATTTCATGTAAAAGATGGAAAAGTACGTTCAATTAAAACAATTCCCAAAGTAAATGTTCAAGGTAGCCTTATATGCTTGCCAATGTAGGTCTAAAAGTGGCCATTAATTTTAGTTAGTTAGTTGGTTAGTAAATAATCACATGATACACAATAGGTTTTGCATGTATTTTAACCTCTTATGTTTAATTTTTTTCTCCCATTTCTATATTTTTTAAATTATTGTTTAAGGTATGTACAAGGATATTCTAATCATTTATCGCGCGCGGCAGAACGTTCAAAAATGACAAACATTTTTTTACAAAATACGTCAGTTACTCTTATAACCCACTCTGCATAAATAATTAAAAGAAAAGGTAACATAAAAATAACATCATAGTTCAACATTCAATCCATAAATGAAATAAAATTTAAATAATGTTTCAATTGCATAAATAGTATATTACATTACGAGTGTGGAAAGTGACATTTTTCACACGAGTGGGAAATATTGTCGCACGAGGCGTAAGCCGAGTGCGACTATCACACGAGTGTGGAAAATCACTTTTCACACAAGTGATGTACAATATTTTTCCTACGACCACAAAATAATTTCATCAAAAAATGTAAAACCAGATTATTATAATAATTAAAATGTATTTAAAAAAATAATCAACAATAATCGTATTTATTAAATTTTCATAATTTCTAAAAAAATAAAAAAAAATAAAAAAAAAAATAAAAAAAAAATAAAAAAAAATTCTGGCACAGCCAGGATTCGATCGCGGTCGTTGGACGGTCTCAAATTGCAAAGTTGATGCTCTAACCAACTGAGCTAACAGGCCTTACTGTAATTGATTGATCTAATCGCTTATGTGTTTAACCAGAATAAAAAGCAAATATATCTTAGTTATTTTAAAATTATTTTAAAAATAATTGTTAAAGATAAATATCTAGGATCTAATTTACAATAATTTAACAATCATATCGATTTTAGTATTAATATGGACATTACATAGATCAAAATAGAAATTATGTGTTTGACATTTTCTGACAGCTACTGCGGAAAGTAGCATATTCTCACTTGGGTGGAAAGTAAATTCTTATTCATACGCGTGTGATATAGGGCACTTTCCATAGGTCTATATAGTGTGATATGTGTCACTTTCCTAAGTGGTCGTAGGAAAAGGTGGTTTTCGAGTTTGCACAAGTCAGAATTATTCTGACACTTGAGCAGTAAGGTTCTATTTATTTGCTTTCTTCCGAAATAGGGACGGTAAAGTAAGATATTATAAACCGACGTTTAATTACCACATATGCAATCTACTAATTTTAAAGTAGACTGTAAAAATGTTAGTTTGTATCATAGTTTATCAAGTTTAAATAAATACGTAAACGAAAGGTACATTTTTAAGTTCAACCAGTGGAAGTGAATTCAAAATCCAGTAGTTAGTGCTCGAACCACCTATAGAATAACACAGTCCATAGCAGAAGAGAAACCCTTCTACGTGACTTGGGATCGAGTAGAAGAATTCCATAGCCCGAAACAAATATTATAAAAACCAAGTAAACAGTAACACAAAAATATTGGTAGGAAATTCTAGCAGAGATGTACAACAAGAATCGTTTTAATAAAACTGAGTAATTAATGTCAAGATGTCAATATAATATTTATAGTGTCAAAAAGTGAAACCATGGCAAAATAATTGAAAGTGGAACATTATGATAGCACAGACAACTGTATGGATAGTTATTCATAAATTATTCAAAACAACGTTTACCTTTTTGTTTTTATATTTTCTTATGATAAGGTAAGTCAGAGACCACCCTATCCCCACATTGATGGATTCAGAAAGAAAAATCTATCAGAAAAATTATAAATACAGGGTGATTCGTTTAAAATTTCATCCAATGACATCATATTGATTTGTAGATAAGCGATACAATTTTATGTTGGTTAAAAGATTTCCAGGTCCGGATTAAAATATATATTCTCATGAAATAGTAAAGAATATGTTTTTTAATAATATTATAATTGAGGGCTCTTTATTTCAATTGTTAACAGTTTTGAATGTAAAACTGTTTTTATAATAAAAAATTTCCTAGAATTTAAAATACTTATAAATAAAATTTACTTGCCTGACCATCTGACTTTCTGTACTAAACGTCTATTAAGGAGATTAGCGATAATGGGATATAGAGTTACAAATAAATTACCCGACTGAAGACAAAAATACTATTGTTTAAGATACCGAGACCTATAATTCCAGACAAATTAGAGAATTTTATATAGTGGCTAGAGTAGTACGTCTCTGCGTAAAGACGGCAGCCTGGTGATAAATAAATTGCCTGCTGTTTTATGGTAGTCACTAGATCTCTGGTTTAACTATAAATAGGTTTATTCTAGCCTGTAAAAATTTGGTTGAAATCAGCGAGAGACAGATTAGTACCATTAGCCCTATTTTGCTGAGATGGGCTGCGAAATTCAGCCGAAGGCATGATTAACTTGTAGAGTATATTCAAGGTACTCATATTATGTGCGATATTTTGTTAGACAATTTCTTATAAACAATGCGTCGGCTTGATATGCAAATCACATAAGTCTCAAAAACCTAATCTTACAGGAGAGAGAAAAAACTGTAAATCTATTGAATCGTGTAACGTAAATTTTTTATTTTTTAAGGTAACATTTAATTAATTTTGTTTGTGTATTTATAGGTAAAATAAACTGATAAAATTTTATTTTATATTATTTTACCGGAGTTATGTGATTTTCGAGTTATGTTGAATTTTTTTTGAGTTATAGGATTTTCGGTATATAAATTAAACTATTAGGAAATAAGTTTATTAAGTATAATAAAACTAGAAATAAGGTAATTGTTCATAAAAAGCACAATAATCTTGTGTCATGCTTGTCTTTAAATTCATAAGATGATCATACTTTGTTTGTGGCAGATGTTCCAGGTCTAATAGAAGGGTAATATTGGAGAGAACTAAAGTCTTTGAAGAACTGGTTTTTTAAATACTCAACTTTTTAGGAAGAAGGATTTTTGCAAGCAACTCTGCATATCGTAATATAGTCTGCAGGAATGTTTATTATTGCATTTTTCATCTGCCTTTTAATACTGGAGTGCGTTGAATCGCACTCCATCACTGTAGAGGATATAATACGGCACTTGATGCTTGTCAATTTCTCTAGCAAGGAAATTCACTATAATTAAAGCATATACACTGGCTGTTTTTCCTCCTTCTGATTCGTTCCATATAAAGCAAGATCCGTCTTTAGTTTTTAGATCGTAAAAAGTAAAATTGTGGACAGCTAATTTAGTTTTATAATAAAGTTCTGACACATTGGATTTCGGTGCTAGGAAAACAGCTTGCATGTCCATAGTGTACACTTTATATTTATCAGTGGAATTATTCTTATCTTCATCCTTCTCTGTTTTTGCTTTTTCTCCTGATGCAATGCATAAACCTCTTTCGGAACATTCTTTGTTCTATAGGAAACGCATAAGTCGCACTCGTCTTTTTTTGTCATAAAAAGGCTTAAATTTAAGTCTGAAAACATGTGATGAAATGTGGCTATAGATAATGGTCGTTCATTGTCATGGTTTGTGGAACAAAAAGTTTTGTAAAGATCGTATAACTGACTTTTGGATTTCCAGTCAGGCTCCAAATATTGTTTCTTGGTAGAACTTTAACAATAATGGCTCTCCATTTTTGGCAATAGGTCAAAAAAATTCTTTTAAACGATTTCTTCTTAGTTCTCTGCTTTTTTTTTTATTAATTTCCGTTTGGTTATTTTCAATGTCAGTTTGATCTTCTTTTTTCTTTTTTTCTTGCTGGGATATGTTGAGATTTTGCTTCAACCGGTTATTAATGGTCCACTGTTTAATAGCTAATGTATTGGCGAATAAAGTTTTGCATACTCTTATTTTGGTCCGATCTGCTTTCTTCAGAGAGAAAATGTAGATGCACGTTCTTCTGCTGGTTTCCTCCTTTCTCCTGTTTCTGCTTCTTTCTGTGTGTTTACTTTCAACTTGCGTTGTTATGAACACCTGCTTTTCACTCCAAGACATCTTCCAAAATTGCTTAAATACTGATTTTCGGTCATCTTCAGTAAACTGAGAGCATCTCAGCTTTGATTTTTCATTAGATACGTACTTACATCTATCTTGTATTGCTTTCTGTGGTTTTTCAATATTGTACATCCAATCATCACCATTTTTCTTTTTTCCTAAATATTTTAAACCAGTCTCCCTTTTCCTTTTGTTTTTTCCTGCTCCCAGTTCTTAGTATCAACATGCATTCTTTTGCGTCGCTGCCTATTTTTATTAACCGGTTTATTTTCCAATTCTGTTTCAATTGTATTGTCTTGTTGCTCAAGATTATTATTTTCTTCCAATAGTTCTTCGTCAGATGAACTAGAAACGGTTTCCCAGTCTGGATCGTCCTGTCTTTTTGGTTTTTCTGCGCATTGGTTCTCTTCAATGATTTGGTCATCTAGGTTACGTTTTTTGGAGCTAGGTTCTAAATTTTCAAAATCGTTGGGACACTGGATCTTATTTGAAGTTAATAATATGTCACTAAAAAAAAACTCCGTCTTCAAGTCCATTTTCAGAACAAAATCCATTATTTTTCTCAATGTTGCTATAATCAGCGCTAATTTCAGGGATATCTATAAAATCAAAGTCCACATTGGGCACAGCATAGAGTATCTCATCGTTTATAACAAGCGGTTGGGTAGTTTTGCAAATTTCTTTATGATTGACTTCACGTCACGGTCCGTAATATCGTTTATAAAATTGCCACTCTCAGGAATACTGCATTTATTTGTTTCAATTGATTTACTACTACAAGCCATCTCAAGCAATTTTAGAGTTCTTGCGGACCAATTGGCGTGATTCTGAAAAACAAATACTTAATTTGTATACAAATTGCAGGTAGTTTTCAGATGTTGGGCGCGTTTCTTTTTATAAACACATCTCCACCAGATGCCATCTGACAATAGGTGATATCGTACTGAAATTAAACAGTGATATAGAATATTATCAGATAATTCTTGCTTTAAAAAAGAATGCGCCCATTGTGATAAATATCCTTCATCCTATCTTTTTTTTTTGTGTAATCTCCTAAATCACGATTTTTGTGATGCATTCTAAAATACATTTTTTAGTTTCGTAGCTTAACAGCTAAGAAAGCCCTTAGATCATAGGTTTTGATTATTTATTCAAATATTATAAAACCCTAAACTGATAATATATCAAGGCATTCTTAACTATGACGAAGCCAGCGAAAAATAAATAAGTCCAAGAGCGATTCAAGTTTCAATAATATAAAATCACATAAGTCCATAACCTGTATTATCAGTGTAATTACTTAGTTCTAGATGCTTATTTACTAAAACCAACAACAATTTATATAAATAAACTTACCTGATGTTCTTTAGAATAATATTTCTATATAAAATCAACAAATTCGTTAAAAGCCCGTACCAAAACAGCAGCACAACGAAATCACCGGCACCAAACACAATAAACAGTGGACTTATGTGGTTTTCTCGTTGAATAAATTGGGGGCGTGCCGATTTCGTCAACTAAAAGATTTTTTGGAGTTGTGTGCATATCTGCAGAGATGCGCAAAACGTTTTTTTACATGATCGTTCAAATATTTTAAATTCACCCAAAAGTGGACTTATGTGATTTGCATATTAAGACGACGAATGGTTTAATGGTTATGCGAGATTGTCAAAAATTTCATTTTATTTTATATATCCCTTCATCCAGTTTATCCAAACAAAACGTATCCTTGTTAGAAACATTTTTAATTAATTTTTTCAGTGCCTAGGTCCTAAGATGTGATAGTCCTAATATTAATTGGCGTTTTTGAATTATCCAATACACCTGCAGTTAACGTATATATTTACTCTGAAACATCGTATAATATGTTAACATAACAGCTGTACCTACTGATCTTACCACAATTTATCAAATTCATTCGCTATAATGGATGACATAAATGACCTTACTTTCCCTTATTATACAGTTATTGATAAAAATTGTTTCAATAAAATTGCGGTGACTCCGAACTTCAAACATTAAAATAGTCTGGTAAACTTAAAAATTGTTTTCCAATAATTTAATAAATGACGACATAAAAAAGAAGATCGAATTGAATTTCCAATGGAACGAGTACGGAACGGATAGTTTTTCTAATAAAACTGATCGCTGTTTGGTCTGTTTTCTGTGTTTAATGATCGTACAATTTTCGCAATATCAATGTTTTCCAATAACAGTTAAAACGGTGGAATAAAAGGGTTATTATGGTTTTGTACCTTTTCAAATTTTCACGTCGTAGCGGGGTTTTAATGCCATTTGCCTGATTAAAAAAGTTTCTATGTGAAACTGCCTTTTTTTCATTTTCTCATTACTTGATTTTTAAAGTTGTAAAAAGAAGTTAGGTGGAATTTTAGGTTATAAATGAGCAGAACAAACTGACTGTAATAGACTTAATATTAAAATAATGTATTAATTAATATAGGGACAACACAAATATAATATTATGTTTGTTTTATTAGGGTTGAGTTTTATAACTGATTTTGTAGTCCCACGGTGGATTAACTAATTGAAATGTTATTTTTTATAATTGATTGTCCCAAATTTATTTTATACTCGTAGCCACACGTTGGATTAGCTATTTGAAATGTCTTGTTTAAACTAATTATTTAAATGCAATACAATTTTTGTTACATATATTCTTTTTATTAATTAATTGATTTAACGTCAGCCTATTTCCAAATACGATATTTAAACACCGACGCTGGTGAGTACGATACCCCCAATTACCAGAAATTTAACCAAATTTAATTGTGTTTCAACCAGAGGTAGAGATTTTTAACGAGACCAGCATTCATGGACTCGAGATCGATAGCTTAACGCCTTCTTCGAAAAGATGGCACATCCCACAATATACCTCGTACTCATTGATATATTGCCTGCCCGCTGTGGTATGGAACTGAGCGAGCAGTTCGGACGTACGCCGACTTTCATTGAAATGGTCACCTATCCAACTACTAATTACACTGAGCCTGACTTGACTGTAGATATCGATACACAATAAGTGAACCTGCTAAGCTGGGCCGCCACCCGTTTGACCTACTTATTACAGAATTTTTGTTGTGCTTTTTTAATATATGTTAATAATTGTGTTGGACATTTTTATTAACTAACAGTACATAATTTTTACTATATATCTGCGTGATTAGATACTCTTCTTTCAAATAAAATTTCAAAAAATACAGAAAATTTTCTTCGTCTTTACTAGTAGGGCTAGGCGATTATCAAAATAATAATCGATTATCGATTATTTAAAATAATCGATTAATCGATTAATCGAAAATAATCGATTAATCGAAAATAATCGATTAATCGAAAATAATCGAAAATAATCGAAAATAATCGATTAATCGAAAATAATAGATTAATAAAAAATAATCGATTAATCGAAAATAATCGATTAATCAAAAATAATCGATTAATCGAAAATAGTCAATTAATCGATTATCGATTTAAAAAATATATAATGATCGACTATTCGATTAATCGATTATTAATCGATTAGTCGATTATTTTGCCCACCCCTAACTACTAGGCAATTTTTCAATAACTTTAATTCTGTTTTTGTCTAAAATTATTATAAAATTGTGTGAAGATGTTAAAATTTGAGCAAATTTAGAAACAAAATTTTAAAAACATTTGGATTGGTCTAGATAAAAACATTTCCTTATTTTACTCCTTAAGCCTGCTCATGTAAAAATATTTCGTAATTAGATCCCTTAAGTAGGCCCATGTAAAATTATTTGAGCACTCTGCATCTTAAGCCTTCTCCTGTAAAAATAGTTAGTTTTTTATCTCTCCTTATGTAAAAATATTTGTTACTTTACCCTTGCAGCATGCAAATGTAAAAATGTTTGGTTACTTTACCCCTTATACCCACATATGTAAAAATATTTGGCCATTTTATTTCTTAAGCTTGCATATGAAAACATATTTGGTTGATTTACTCCTTTAGCCTGCTCACATAAAAATATATGTACCCTTTTGCCCATTAAGTCTGCTCAAGTAAAAATGTTTGACCCTATACCACGTGCGCCTGCCTATGTACAAAAATTTTGTCCTTACTTGAGTTCGAGTGTATAAAAATATGACCATGTAAGAATAATATTTGGGCATTTACCTTTTTGATCCTAATATAAAATTCAAATACGAGGTTCATTCTGGAGTTTGTTAAAAGTCGTGCAAAAATAATCCTGTTATTCGCATAAGACACACATTTATTTTTATCTATCACTTTTACTTAAAATAAATACTTACTCAAAATCCTTCAACAGGCGCTTAAAAAGCATTGAAAATTTATTTTACATTTAAGAATGACAGCAGTATAAAAAGTGTCTATGATTATCTAGTACCCATGTCGCATTGTATGAAATAAGCTCTTTAAGAAATTTATAGCATTTTAAAAACATTGACATTTAAAGCTCTAAAGTTAAACCAAAGGCTTGAAATAGTAAAGTCAAAATCACAAGTCGATTCGATCATTCGTTCTAGTTATTGTGACAGCACATATGCATACATACATAGGCAAGCACAAAAGACAAGACCATATATATATTCTTTGCGTTTTCGGACTTAGACCATTTGGAAATATAAAGAACAGTTATAAAGAGTGGAGGTAAGAAAATAAGTAGCAATAAATTATATATTAGCAATAAATTAGCAATAACATATCAACAAATAACACTAAATTAGCGATAAAGTAACAATAAAATGGCAATAAAATAACTATAATATAGCGATAAAATATCAATAAATTAGCAATTAAAACAATAATATAGTGATAAAATATTAATAAATTAGCAATAAACACGCAATAAATTAGCACTAAATTAGCACTAAATTAACACTAAAATAGCACTAAATTAGCACTAGATTAGCACTAGATTAGCACTAGATTAGCACTAGATTAGCAATAAATTAGCAAAAAAATTAGCAATAAATTAGCAATAAATTAGCAATAAATTAGCAATAAATTAGCAATAAATTAGCGATAAATTAGCAATAAATTAGCAATAAATTAGCAATAAATTAGCAATAAATTAGCAGTAAATTAGTATTAAATTATAAATAAATTAGCAAAAACAGATGTTTTGGAA